GTTAAACCTTTATCAATAATAAGGAAATTGATCATTAAAGCCTTAAATATGACTACCTCGTTTGTTTGAAAATATGTTTAGGAGAGGAAGCTGTATGATTTGATAACTTGTATTAAAATACCAATTACATTTATAGGACCTTTTAAAACTCGGCGCAATTAAACCGTGTTCTTTTACATTTTTCCGAAGCGACCCTGACATTTAAAAAGACTCCAACTGCCTCGTTAAAATCGCGAAATTAACAGCGTGCCTACGCCTGGCGCGTTGTGTATGTGTGTGTGCGTGTTTTTTTTTTCCGCGACTCCCCCACATCAGTCTTTGGGGGTGGTCTGCGAAGGTATTTGATTTGTTGTGAGGCGAGAGATATCTCATTAATGTAGGTAGTTAAACAGATTTAATCCGTATTCATTCTCTCTCTCACCCCCTCTCCCTCCACCCCCCCTCCCTCTCTCCCCCTCGCTCTCCCTGGGTGTTTTTTTTTTTTTTCTTCCCTTCCTTTTTTTTTTTTTCCGCTCTCTCCTCACTCCCTGGCGCTCGCTCGCTCTAGCTCTCTCTCTCGCTCGCTCTCTCTCGCTCGCACCCTCGCTCTGCGTTCTGTCCGGGAGGAGTACGGAGAAGCCAATAGGATGCGGGGGCTCTAATGGATGCAAATGATCATGAAAAGACAGTGCAAAATATGAAACAACTCATTTGCAGGGAAGTAAATCACCGAAAACTGTTTATGAACTGGCATCCCTTCTTCGAAATGTAAAGCGAGGACCTCTTTAAGTGGCGGTATATTTTTGTTTGGGGGGTGGGGGGTGGGGGGAGGGCGAGCGAGCCGCGGCTGCCATGCAAGCTTAGACTTTTGGAGGCTTCGCTGTCCTTTTCTATTCCTGGAAATCACAAAAAGTGTGGCGGCTTCGAGATCTTCTTCGCCTTTTCTTTCTTTTCTTTTTTCCCCCTCCTCCCTTTCCCTCTCCTTTCCTGGCGAGGGTGACTAGGAGCCGGCGAATCCGCGTTTTTTTCTCTCTCTCCCTCCCTCTCCCCCTCCCCACCCCCTCCCCAACAGCCCCCAACTACAGCCGCCGCCGCCGCCGCCGCCTCAAAATTCAATAAAATGAGCTCTTATTTCGTCAACTCACTGTTCTCCAAATACAAAACCGGGGAGTCCCTGCGCCCCAATTATTATGACTGCGGCTTCGCCCAGGACCTGGGCGGCCGACCCACCGTGGTATACGGTCCCAGCAGCGGCGGCAGCTTCCAGCACCCGTCGCAAATCCAGGAGTTCTACCACGGGCCGTCGTCGCTGTCCACCGCTCCCTACCAGCAGAACCCGTGCGCCGTGGCGTGCCACGGGGACCCGGGCAACTTCTACGGCTACGACCCGCTGCAGCGGCAGAGCCTGTTTGGTGCGCAGGATCCAGACCTGGTGCAGTACGCCGACTGCAAGCTCGCCGCCGCCAGCGGCCTGGGCGAGGAGGCCGAGGGTTCAGAGCAGAGCCCGTCGCCCACACAGCTCTTCCCCTGGATGCGCCCGCAAGGTGAGCTCGCGGCGGGTCTGGCCGGGGCCAGAGGGGAGACCGCAGGGCCCCGAGGCCGGGCAGGGGGCCCGCCAGGCCGGGAGCGTTTCCTCGAGCTCCTGGAAGACATGCCTGCTCCCATCCGATCGCCTCCCACTTCTTTCCTCCTTCCCTGTCTCCCTTCCTTCCTCCCTCCCTCCCTTCCTTCCTTCCTTCCTTCCTTCCTTCCTTCCTTCCTTCCTTCCTCCCTCCCTCCCTTCCTCCCTCCCTTCCTCCCTCCCTCCCTTTCTTTTTTGTTTCCCTTGAAGGGGGGTCGCTAAGCGACATTTCCTGAATCCATAAACCCCTCACCCGGCCTTACTTTTCTTCTTCTCATCCTTCCCCCCCCCTTTTACTGTTTTATGGGGGTAGTGGAGAGAGGGTGGTGGGAGTGGGGGCGCTCAACTTTTGCACTTCTCAATTGCTTTATAGTTTAATTACCCTGAAGAAACTTTTCTTCTGGGGCAGAGGCTCTGGGGGCTTTTCAAGGTGGGTCCATTCGTCCCCATCCCAGCTTTTTTAATTCTTACTTCCCTCCTTCTTCACATCTTTCCTTCTAAAGTTTATGGCACTTTTAATAGATTTGAACCACCTCCACCCAACTCTCTGGTGCTGGTTAGCAGAGGAGGGGGCTCCCCCCTTCTGGCTCCCTTAGATTCAGTGGTGTCTTATCCCTCTCACCACCACCACCACCCTACCCCCCACCCCCAACCCCGACCGCTGATCGCGGCCTCCCCTCCCCTGCAAGGGGTAGAATGTCCCCTGACCTTATTATACTGGTCTCCTAGGCTGGTTCACGAATCTTCCAACCTTCTCCGTCTCTGCCCTCTCCCCCCTCCCATCCCCCCCCCCCCCCCCCCCGTCTCGCCCTTTCCCCCATTCCCAGCAGCCGCCGGACGCAGGCGAGGCCGACAGACCTACAGCCGCTACCAGACCCTGGAGCTGGAGAAGGAGTTCCTATTTAATCCCTATCTGACTCGCAAGCGGCGGATCGAGGTATCGCATGCGCTGGGACTGACAGAGAGACAGGTCAAAATCTGGTTCCAGAACCGGAGGATGAAGTGGAAAAAAGAGAACAACAAAGACAAGTTCCCCAGCAGCAAATGCGAGCAGGAGGAGCTGGAGAAACAGAAGCTGGAGCGGGCCCCGGAGGCGGCGGACGAGGGCGACGCGCAGAAGGGCGACAAGAAGTAGGCTCCAGCTGGGACTGCCAGGGCCGCGGCCGCCCTCGGTCCGTGGGTCCCCCCGGACCGCACCGCCGCCGCCCGCCCCCCGCCCGAGAGAGCTCTGGCCCCGCGAGCAGGGCCCGGAGCCCGGCCTCCCGCCGCAGCGTCCCCCGCCGCGCCAGTCCCCCGCTAGTGGTAGTATCTCGTAATAGCTTCTGTGTGTGAGCTACCGTGGATCTCCTTCCCTTCTCTCGGGGGCCGGGGGAGGGGGGGCAAGAAAAGGATTTTGAGCAAGGACTCCCTCGCCCTGCGAGGGTGAGCGGCTGCGGCCTGGCTGAGCCCCCCCAAGCCCCCGCCCCGTGTAAAAAGCCTCCTTGTGCAATGGTCTTTTTTCCTTTGAACGTGCTTCTTTGTAATGACCGAGGTACCGATTTCTGCTAAGTTCTCCCAACAACATGAAACTGCCTATTCACACCGTAATTCTTTCTGTCTCCCTCTCCCTTTCCTTCTCTCTCTCTCTCTCTCTCTCTCTCTCTCTCTCTCTCTCCCCCCCCCCCGTCCTCATTTCCCCCTCCCAACCCCTCTCTCCCTGCTGCCCTCCCTAGCTCGCTGGCTTTCTCTCTTGCTTCTCTCTTTTCCTCCCAACACCCCCCCCCCACCGCCTTTGGTTTGGCAATTTTGTCTTAAGTGTTTCTCAAAAGAGGTTACTTTAGTTAGCATGCGCGCTGTGGGCAATTGTTAAAAGTGTTCTTAGGTTTACTGTGAAGAGAATGTATCCTGTATCCGTGAATTGCTTTATTGGGGGGTGGGAGGGCTAATTATATATTTTGTTGTTCCTCTATACTTTGTTCTGTTGTCTGCGCCTGAAAAGGGCGGAAGAGTTACAATAAAGTTTACAAGCGAGAACCCGAGACTGGCCCGGCCCGCGCTCCTCATTTGCCCCCGGCGCCTTGCAGAGCTGGGGGGAGCCCGTCACCCGGCTCCTGCGCCAGCCAGGCCGGCCGCCCAGAAGAGGGGGCGGGGGCTGGAGGCAGGTGGTGCGAGTCCCTTGGCCCAGGGGCGCAGGGGGTGAGGGAGGCGGCTGCGCCTGATTGGAGGAGAGAGGAACGGGGGAGGGGAGCCCAGAGAAACCCCCTCCCTTCGCGTTCAGAGGCTGCCGGCGCGAGACCCGGGCGCCCAGGCCAAGCTGTAGGGATGCGCCCGGACTGGTGGCTGTATCCCCCGCCGCCTCCCCCTTTGTTTCTGCGGGCCCTCTCCCGTGTGCGCTTGTGTGTGTGCTGGGGTGTGTGTGTGTGTGTGTGTGTGTGTGTGTGTGTGTATAAAAGTGGAGCGCAGGGCCGCTGAACAAGCTTATACATTTATTTTTCCCAGATTGGCTGGCTGGCTGGATGGATGGGTGGCTGGGGGTGGGGGGAGCAGGAGGAGAGAAGAGAGGCACTTCCCCGCCTCTCCCTCTTCGCGACTTGGCCACCTTCGCCCAGATCTGAGGTTGTGGCTCGCCCCCTCCCTGCCCTCGCTGCCCCTGCTGCTCCAGCAGCCACGCTCCACTGAGGCATCCGCCTCCCGGAACCAGGAGAGCAGCATACCCAGGCCGCCCTCCTCCCTTCCTTTCTCTTCCCAGCCACCCCACCCCCTTCCTTTTTTTATTTTCAAACAGTTGTGTTTGTTTGTTTGTTTGTTTGTTTGTTTGTTTTAGCCACCACCAGAAACCGCAGCATCCCACGCCCGTGGGCTGGATCCCGCCTGTAGGAGCACCCACGAAGCTTCGTTCCATCCCTGCCTGTATGTCTGGGGGCACCGAGAGAGCGAGCCAGGAGGCCAGGCTCACCTCCGCCGCTCACCTCGGGAGAACCGGACCAAGGTCCCGGCTAAGGCCCAGCGAGGCTGCACTGGCCCAGATTAATAAAGACCTGCCCTGCCCCCACCCGCCCACCCACCCAGTTGCGGGCAATCCCTGCACTTGTTTCTTGTTGGGCAACCGACTGGGGTGGTGGGTGGTGGTGGTGGGGTGACAACACGGGTGGCTCAGAGGTTATTTATTTTCCCTTCTACTCAATCCATTCCTCCCCAAATCTCGCCTGCAAGCTGCCTCCAGCCCAAGAGGGTCGACGGCGGCCCTTGAGCCCCCAGCCCCAATCCGCAGGGCTCGGCTCTCCCATTCATTATTGATCATATTTCATAAATCGAACGCCACACAATTTTTTCCACATTACCGGGAGCCGTGGGGAGGCTGCCCGGGCATTGGCGGAGGGCGCGTCACGTGGGCGGGGTCACGTGGTCCGGAGAGGAAAAAGGGGGTCCTTTTTGGTGTAAATCTGGACTCTAATTCTGTAATATATCAAGGAATCTCGTAAAACCGACACTAAAACGTCCCTGCCTACAAATCATCCGGCCAAATTATGAGTTCATTGTATTATGCGAATGCTTTATTTTCTAAATATCCAGCCGCAAGTTCGGTTTTCGCCACCGGAGCCTTCCCTGAACAAACTTCTTGTGCGTTTGCTTCCAACCCCCAGCGCCCGGGCTATGGAGCGGGTTCGGGCGCTTCCTTCGCCGCCTCGATGCAGGGCTTGTACCCCGGCGGGGGGGGCATGGCGGGCCAGAGTGCAGCCGGCGTCTACGCGGCCGGCTACGGGCTCGAGCCGAGTTCCTTCAACATGCACTGCGCGCCCTTTGAGCAGAACCTCTCCGGGGTGTGTCCCGGCGACTCCGCCAAGGCGGCGGGCGCCAAGGAGCAGAGGGACTCGGACTTGGCGGCCGAGAGTAACTTCCGGATCTACCCCTGGATGCGAAGCTCAGGTAACGCCGCGCACCGAGCCATCCCGAGCCGCAGTGGCCCGGGCGCATCCCACCCCCCCCCAAGGCGCCCCCTTCCCCGCCAAGTGCCCCTTTCCGCGTCCAGAGAGCTCCCGGTAGGAGGTCGGCCCTGGGGACACGGCTGCAGCTCGGCCGCAACCCGACGCGCCGCCCCCACCCCCCCATTTTTGCTCGGTACTCTCAGGCTCCTTCTGCTCCCCTGGCGGATCTCTCTTCGCCGACGCCTTGGCGCTCCGAGCCCCCCGCCCGCCCCCCACCTTTCCTCCCGGCCTTTTAGCTTTAAATATTTATCAGCCGCGCCGGCACGGGCTGGAGACGAGGCCGTTTGTCTTGTGGAGGAAGGCTGGGGTTTGCAGAGAATAGCCATTAGGGTCTCCCCCCTCCCTTCTCTTTTCCCCGCCGCCGGGGATCTCAGCTCTGGGTGTGTCCCCCAGCCCCAGCTTGGAGGTCTGGGGGAGGGGGCCCGCAGCGCAGAGCAATTCTCCCCTCCCCCTTCCCTCCTAGCCAACCCAGCTCCCCCATTATTCCCTTCTGGACAATTAGAGGTGGGCTCTAGAGGCTTGGCGGGAGGAGGGGGTATGAGAAGAGATGAAGATCCAGCCAGGGACACAGAGCCAGAGAGGCAGGTGGAGAGAGGGGGGCTGAAGCCAAGAGAGATGAGGCTCCTGACCCCCCAGTGAACTTGGGCAGGGAGAAGCAGAACCAGAGAAAGGGTCGGAAGCCTCATTAGACTATGGCTGGCTTCCTCAGGTGCCCTTCCTAGGCCTCCTAAGTGCCCCCCTAGAGAACTGGCCAGCAAGTTTGCAGGTATCATTCCAGAAGGGTGAATGTCCTTAGGGAAGGGACTTGGATTATGCCTTGCCAAATCGTGACTTAGACAGTTCAGGCCACTGAGCCAGCTGCTGCGGAAGCCCCAGGAGACCAGGGCTCCTTGGGGTCTCCTGACTAGCCTGAACCAGACATTCTTCTTAACGCTGCCCTGGACTCAGGGGACAACCCCAAGGTTCAGAAGGCCCAAGACTTGTGGTCAGAGCCTCCCAATCCAGTCCAAAGGAGCCTGGCTCTTATGCCATCAGTATTGGTGGTCACGGTCTCCATTACCTGCTCCATAATTCAACTGCCTTTCCAGTTGATTTATCAAAGCCCAAATTTTTCTGCTCGTAAACATTTCAGCTTGGCTTTTATCTGACTGGAAATTAAGGCCCCTAAGCCCTCCTCCCGCGTCTCCTTCCCAGGAGGGCTGGCACCAGCACCTCCCCCCATACAACATCCCCCAGGGCTCCTCAGGGTTTTGGCCTACTCTAGAAGGCTTTCCTCTGCCCTACATCCCCCACCATCCAGATACTTCATGTTCTACCCCAAACCAGGCTGCTCTCTTCCCCGTGCCTTCCTGGAGGGCCCAAAGGTTGATTTGGAGAACTGGGTTGTCTGGGCAGGTGGGCAGGACAGTCTGGCCCTGTCTGAACCTGAGCCATTCACTGGAAAAAGAGTCATCAGAAGGCAGCTGCTCTCAGGGAAACTCCAGGCTCCAAGGAAATCTGCAAATCCTCACCTCCTTCTCATTCTATAACAGGCTGTGTGTGTGTGTGTGTGTGTGTGTGTGAGAGAGAGAGAGAGAGAGAGAGACAGAGACAGAGACAGAGAGAAAAAGACACAGAGAGACACTGGGTCAGTGTCTGTGAGTCTCCTTTGTTTTCTTTTCTTTTTGGGAAAAGCACTCAGGCCAGGCCTAGAGATCCACTCCAGGGTCACTTGCATGGCTTCCATTGCCTCTTACCCTAAAGACCATCCGGTCAGTACCCAAAAGGGGAATCCTAGGATGCCTGGTCTCAGGGGTGATGGGAACCTTCTTTCATCCTACATACACCTCTCAGGTGCAAAGCCTTCAAGAGCCAGCAGGTTAAATCTTGGGCTCAGAACCCCTGGGCTGAAAGCCTTTCTGGGTGGCAAATGGGGACGTTTGCCTCCAGAGGCCTCTAGAAATGCCTGTACAAGGAGGGAAGTGGAAAGGCACACGTTGGGGTATATGGAAAGTAAGAATTTGGTTTCATGGGGAAATGGGCTCTTCCCACCACTGACCCGCAAACCTGAGGTCTGAGAGGGACTCAGGCACTCTCTGGCTTTCCCCAGGAGCACTAATTCTTCTCCTTTAAATACTGTGCGCAGGGACAGACCGAAAGCGAGGCCGCCAGACCTACACCCGCTACCAGACCCTGGAGCTGGAGAAGGAGTTTCACTACAACCGCTACCTGACACGGCGGCGGCGCATCGAGATCGCGCACGCGCTCTGCCTCACCGAAAGACAGATCAAGATCTGGTTTCAGAACCGTCGCATGAAATGGAAAAAGGAGAACAAGAGCACGGGCCCTGGGGCCACAGGCCAGGACAAGGCCGAGGTGGAGGAGGATGAGGAAGAGTGAGAGCCAGAGACCCGGTAGAGGAAAAGAGTGAGAGGAAGGGAGAGAGGGTGAAGCCCAGCTCTGAGAACTGAACCAGGAAACTCAAATTAAATAGGGACGGGGAAAACTATTTAAGTAGCGGAAAGCAGTTTAAAATTTTTTAAGGAGAGAAGGTAAAGTTTTGGTTTCTTAACACTGAAAAAAAATACTACCTATAGAAAAGTCCGTCGGGTGTGTTTTGTACAATATGGGAAGAACATCACCTACCTGTTCTGTAGATTTTCTGCCTCCCCTTTTCTATGTCGCTATTGTAAGGTCTTGGTAAAATTTTGCTGTTTTGTAAGGCCCCTTTCTTTGATGCTGTCTTTGTGGTCTGTGGGTCTGGACTCATTCGTGTGGTTCCCCATCCTCCTGAGCCCCCGCCTTCCCAGTAGCAGCATTGAAGGGGCCTTAGGCAGCCCTATGGACCCACCAACTAGCTCAAGTGTCCCCTCTGTGCACCTGGTCTGTCCGATGCTCCTTGCTCCCGCCAGCCCCTGTGATCCTCGTTACATCTTATGTGTACCTGAAGAAATAAAACACAATTTAAAAATGAACAGATGCCCTATTTTCTGTTTCCCTAAAGCTGGGGGGTTGCGGGTAGTGGTGGGTGGTAACAGGGTTAGCCGTGCATCCCAGAGCCCCTTGGCTTCAACTTCTGCTGCTAGTCATTTCTTTCTGTGCTGGGGTCTGCTCTTTTTCCTGGTGCTGCTTGCTCTGGGGGCTGCCATTAAGTGAACCCCGATATAACAACACATTCCCTTTACATTCTTCTACACATACCGACATACACAAATGCCCAAATCACACATATTTATAGGCTGACATCACACACAAGTGAATATATACATTATCACCCTACAGTCACAAATAAACCCCTATATTCATACATCCATAAATAACCTACAGGCATTCACACAACCCAACTCTAGGCTGGAACACATGCATTCACGTTCACACACACTCACAAGTAAACACACATTCACACTCACTCACAGAGACATTTATACATACCAATGTACATTCACACACTGGCTTATAAACACAGATTCACATTTGCCCCAAGGAAGCACATCCAGGAGCCCACACGCCCAGTCACAAACACATTCACAAAACAAAACCCTCACAGTTCCGCCAACTCTGCTCCAACCAGGCCTTCAAACCAGGCTGCGGCTTGATGGCCAGGCTGGGCCGCACAAGTACGGAGCTGAAATCCAAAGTGTTAGGCCCCCTAAGGAGGAAGAGTGGAAGGAAAGGGAAGGTGACCACCCAGATCCACTCCCGCTTCTGGGGGTGGGGCGGGCAGCGGTGGGCAGAAGCGGGGCGGCTAGCAGACACCGCCTGCCCGAAGAGGCCTCGAACGCCAGGGCGCTCCCGGCTTCCGCCCACCCAGCAAGCATCTTCCGCAAGAGCTATTCGGTGACTTTATTGCAATTCATTTTGCTTTCATTTACTTTAATTTATCTCATTCTAAATTAACACAGCGATCCAAATAAAATTTTTACGTGGGGAGGTGGGGGAGTGGATGAGCCCTGAGAACGAGAGCCTGAGCGGTGCAAGTTTACCCGGCTGGTGTGGCCGCATCCCGGCCGCTCGGAGCCTGGCCGCGCCGCCCGCCCAAGCTCCGCGGGCTCCCTCCGCGCCTTGCTGCCCGCGGTCCGCGCTGCCGGCAACCTGGAATCTCCTCGGGAGTACAGAGAAAGAGAGAAAAAAGAGAAAACGTTTTTTGGGGGATGTTATTTCGTTTCCTGCACTTGGGCGCTGGTAGCTCAATTCAAAATATAGAAGTATTTCAGGGGCCCTGGGAAACACGGGGTGAATTCTGTTTGGTGGCGGTGGAGATTTTTTTGTTTGTTTTGTGGGGTTTTTTCCTCCAAAACACCCCTTGATGGAGGAACATAAACCTGGAGGACGGTGCCTACGCATCTAGACCTGTGGAGCTGATTTTTAGAATTTATTCGATTACAGACCTTGGATTATTTAAATGCAAAGAACAGGTTTTGGGACAGAAAGAAAGAAGCATGTTTGAATGGAAGCACGTTTTAGGAGAATCTCTTTAATTTGAATTTGTAGGTAAAAGTCCCCCTGAACCGGCACTTTCCCCCATTAATGACCACAGAACCCCCTGGAGAGCACATGGAGCTGTCATTGGGAACCTGAGCATGTGGGCATTTGGGTGGAAGAGGCAGGGATCTGGCTTCACCCTCTTCCAGTTTCTGGGGTGCAGAGGCGAGACTCTGGTTGCTAGGCTGCCCACCTTAGCCTCTGTCAGGGCCGCCTTTCTTTCCTAGGTGAAAACTAGGCCCTAGGGGATCTAAGACCCCCACCCCCGCAATGCTACACGCCTCACAGGTGGGGGTCCCACCATCTAGAGGGCTGGGAATGAGGGGGGCATTCAGAGGAGGAGAGGGGACCCTGAAGCCTTCATTTTGCCTTGATGCAAGTGGCAATTTTGGATACCCGCTGTTACTCCCGACTCACCCCAAAACTGCCTTAGAATGGCCCCTGTGTGGAGGATTTGGGGTGAATTCTTACTAGAAGAGGGAGGCAGAGCTCCTGTGAGAATAGGGAGGTTCTGGAGAGAATCCCCTCTCCAGATGGACCCCTGTGGCTCCTCAGTCTGATTCCCTGCACCCCAAATCTCATCCCTTCTCAGATTGGGGTTTCCCCAAATAGCGAGAAGGAGAAGAAAAGAAGATGGCGACCGAGAAAAGGGTTGCTGGTGGAGCAGCCATGAAGAAATGCAATAAATTCCTTGTTGTTTTATGAAAATTTACAACTTTGTGATAGAAGTTTATGAGTGGTTGAATCCAGCGATTGGCCGGCGCCGGTCATGTGGCCGGGCGATCGTGAACATGAACTTTTTATCATTTCCCTGGTGGTTATAATGCAGCATTCTTTTGGACACCACACCTAGGTCGGAGCACTGTCGTCCTTCAGGGCTCCAGCCTCTTGATATTTTTATACTTCAATATCAGCTCGATAAAGCAAAAGAGAGAGAGGAAGAGAGAGGGAAAGGAGGGAGAGAGAGAGAGAGAGAGAAAGAGAGAGAGAGAAGGAGGGGTGGGAATTACACAAAAGAGAGAACCAAAAATAATTTTAATTTCTAAGTTGATTTGCTTGCTGATCTGGGATTTTATTCATCATGGAGGGTAAATGGACAATCTGCCCAGGACTGCAGCCTGATACCATTTTTCAAAGCCAGAACTTACTCCATTTTCTATGCAAATATCAGAAAAGCGAAACACCCTCTCTCCCAAGTCAGAGAAGGGGAAGCAACGGCTCTCAGGTTGGGACAATATTATCTGGAAGATGAAGAAGAAACAGAACGCTTCCCCCCTCCCTTCCTCCTCACCCCTTTCAATCGGAGGGAAGAAATCCCAAGGTCTACAAAGGTAAGGGAGATTCTACAATTCTTATTCTTTTGCATCGATTTTGGAGGGGGTGGGGCTTAGGTTTGTCTCCCTCTCCCCCCACCCCAAGACGGGGCTGAACCCCATCTCTGGGCGCTGCAGGGAGAGGCTTCCCAGGAAATTCGGTGACTGAGAAAGAGAGGGGTGGCTGCTTCCTGGAGGGGGAGCCAAGGCAGGGAAGATGGGAGGAGGAACCGAAAGGGGCCACGGAGGCGAGCCCTAAGTCGCCCTTTTAAGCTGAGAGAGGAGGCTCCAGAGAGGGGGCTGCGAAAGACAGCATAGGGGTGTCTGGGTTTCAGGGCGCCCAGAAGCCGGTCGCTCCGGCCTCTGTGGGTGTGCGCCCCCTCCCCCCTTCCCTCCCTCGTTCCGGCCTCCCCCAGTTGGCCCCCTGCAGTTCTCTTGCCCGGTGCGGGTCTCGGCGGTTTCCCGGCGGCATTGGCACAGGGGCGGTGGCGCGGAGGGACGTCCGGGTCTCTGGAGGGCCTGGAATCTCCGCAGAGGCCCTCGAGGGCGAGGAGGCGGCGGCTAGAGGGACACACAGAGAACAATTCACAGAGAAATGCTCGTTATCTCCCTGTGGAGACGGTTCTGAAATTAAAGGGCTGTGGGTGGAGGCACCCAAATCGAGGGACACCCCCCTCCCCGCCCCCCCCCCCAGGAAGCCAGCCTGAGAATGCCCAGGTCTCTCACCACTCCCACAGGAGGGAGCCTCGCTCTGCAGGGAGACAGTTTTGTGGTTTTTAATGCGGTAGGTTACAGCGTGTTGGTTTCTGTGCAATATTGATTCTATTACTTGTGTTTTTATCGGTATGGGTGTGTGGATTTCGGTGGAGAAAATTGCCATGTGTGGTGTCTGAGGTGGAAACGCTGCAAACTTACCGGGATCCAAACGTGTTGATTGTGGAGAAGCTGCTGAGCATGTTGTGTTTTAAGCTCGTAAACAAAAACGAAAACAAAAAAATGAGGGGAACAGAGTGGGATAAGGAGAAAATAAAAAGAGAACCCAATAAGGGAACCTGATGGTGTCCGGACTGGAAAGCTGCCTGGCCCTGAGCTCAGACAGCTAGTCTTGTCCCTCCGGCGCCTGATTTCATTCTCCAGCCAGGCCTCCTGGGGGTGAAGGAGGGGGGTGGAGAAGAAACGTTGGGCAGGAGACTGAAATGTCTAAAGTAGCTGGTGGGGTGGAAGAAGGGGAAAGCCGGTTAAAACCTAAAAACATAGTGAGAGGGCTTCTGGGGAGGCTGCCAGCGGAGAGATAAGTGGCTCTGGGCGTCAAGGGCAGGAGAGACTGATTTAGTTTGGTTTGCATAAATAGGTGACTGCTTTTCTCTTTTTAAAGACCAAATGCGGAGCGTTCAGCCTCGGGTGTCTGGTTGGCCAGGGGTTGCAGGGGATGAGGGTGGACCGGGCGATATTGGCCCTCTCAAGCCTGAGCTGGGAGGAGAGGGATGCAGGCCACTTGTGGCGCGGGAAGGGGGCCCCTGGAGGCACAGGTAGATGCCCCTGAAGCAGGCCTGGACTGGGTGCCTGCAGGGACCCCCGGGCTGCGCCGCGAGAGAACTTTTGGGCCAGCACCTACGGCACTCGGGGCCTATTCTCAAAGGAAAAATCCCCCAAACCCATCCAGACTAAAGGTCTTTTTCTCCTGTAGTCTTGGCGGGGAATAAATCATCCCGTAGACAGTTTGCTCTGACCCAAATTATGCGGTTTGCTGCCATCTACCGTCCGTTCGGAGACATGCGGCTTCGGCGCCGCAAAGCCCCGCGACACTGCCTGAACCGCGCCGCTGCCTAGAGCCCCCGCTGCTCAGGTTCGGAGGGTTTCGGGGGGGACTTCGGCCCAGATTGCTGCTTTCCGCTGCAGCTTGGTACCCGCCTGTCCGCGTGTGGATTAGAGAACAAGTGTGCCCTCCCCCCTCGCCCGCCCCATCCTAGCTCCAAAACCAGCGGCTGGCTGGAAAAGCGGCTTTTTCTAGGTCATATTTAAAAAGGACTAATACTGCATCCCGCGGGCAGGGGGCCCTGAACCCCAAGGGTGGGAGATCAGAGTCGCACGCACTCGCCCGCAGGCCTACCCACCCCTCCAAGGCTCGAGAGGGGATCATCCGGGACGCTCGGGAGATGCGAGGCCAAGGCTGTTCAAGGTTTATTTGGTTTTCTTTTCGGCCAAGGGAGGGGGGGGCAGCACGGGAGGCGCCGGCCCCCGCAGTTCCACTCGGCTGTCAAAAGACAAACCCGGGTCTGTGTTCTCCGGGTTGGCCGGTGAGTCTTGCCAGTTGCTTGGCCGGTGAGCCCGTGGTAAAGGAATGGAGCCGAAATTTTCTGGAAACTGTTGGTGTCTGCAAGTGAGTGTGGGTCCCCTCCCCCATTCCTGATCGTTTCAAGCGAAATTGACACAAATGTCTTGGGGGAAACATTGGGAGTGGGAGTGGGGATCGATCCTTAAGGAACCAAACCATTGTGATTTCCGTTCCGGCGGACCCCTCACACTCGCTTAACCCGACCGCCTTCCCAGAAGGGGGTGGTGATGGCAGGGGTACGCGCCTCTGCTGCCGCGTTTGAATATTGGCCCCTGTCTCACGGGTTACTGATTAGCTCGGGCTTTCAAGCCGCAGGAGGAAGCTCTGGCCGCTCCTTTCAAGGTGCTGTGGCCCCAGTTCCTGGGCGGGGGGCTGCAGGAAATTGCCTGCGGTGCCAGGCAGGCCGAGGTGTTACTAGGGTCTGGCCCAGAGCTGGAGGAGTCTCCGAGATCGAGGGGCCCCACGGAGCTGGGGGGCAGACCTAGGGGCTGCGGTCCCTGCATTCCTGGCTCTTTGAGAGTTGAACCACAGGAGCTGCCCTTTAGGTTTCCGGGCAGCAAGAGTGACTTTCCGCCGCCAGAAGGCCGGGCTTAGTGCGGAGGCCCCGGGGGAGCCGCGGGAAAGTCTAGGGCCCCTCTTTCTTGGGGGCTATCCGCAGGACATGTGGGGAGAGAGGCGGTTGGTACAGGGGGTTGATACCCTTTGGCTCTTAGAGTGCCCGTGGACCCGGTTAGGGAGAGGGGAGAAGGAGCCTTTGGCCGCCGCCTTATCCCACCCCGTTCCCCGCCCCCCCCCCCCAAGATCGGAGACGATGATGTTTATTTGCATAATGGAAATGAAGTCTTTGTAGCTCGGGTTGGACCGGCCAATTTTAAGGCAATATCCCATGTCAACAGCTCCCAAAGGTTGAGAACTCCCTCTGGGAACATTTATGTTCCCCAAATTCAGAGAATCACAGAGTCTAGGGGAAGAATTGGGTTGAGATGTCTTAATTTGCTCCACCCCAGCCGGAGTTGGGAGTGGGTTGGAGCAAGATGCTCACAACCCAATGAGCAGGAGGTGGGGGGAGCTTTGTAGCTAAGAGAAAATGAGAAGCTTGGACAGTGTCTCAATCCCCCCTCCTCTCTGTACACATCCAGGCAAAATCCCTTCCTGAGGTTACCAGTACAGGAGAATTTTAGTCATGAGCTGAACACAACTTGGACATTTCCCTGGGAGATGGAAATGCATACACATCCACAGGAGCTCATATTCACAGCAGAGAAAATTACAATTATAAATTCTGCCTGTGGGGTTTCTGTACAGTCCTTCTGTTGTGTACTCAAGACTTGGTACACATTTATGTTCACCTCTCTATCTACACACTTTCTCCATGTGGCTGAGAGAGACACCCCGGACTGGCAGACAGCTGTGCCTGCTGGGTATTTACATATTCCCCGTTGGAGACAGACGGACGGCAGTGGACCGAACTACAGACAAATTCGTAGAGATCTGGCTCCAGAAACCAGGCGGCCTCTGGCCGGGCCCTGCCCGTCTGCTCTTTCTCCCAAACAAACGGATCAGACGAATAAACGCTCATAAATACCTCTGGGCTTAGATAAGAGCGATGAGGCGCTATTTCCTTTCATGCCGGACTCCAGGCGCCCAGGCCCTGCCTTGGCGGCTCCATCTCACGACAGGCAACCTGCAGAGGTGAGGTTAATTTGGGGCTGTGACTCTAAGGATCAAGCAGTTATTTTAGTGCTTCTCATGCCCTTCCTTATGGCATCCTACTTAGTCTGGATTCTATAGCAAAGCCCATACCGTCCAGTTCTAGGAAGAGGGCATTGTGGTCAGGGAGGAGGCAGGATGGTTGTGGTCCAAGGCCCAAGGTCTGTGGCAGAGAGGAGGGAGGTGCAGACTGGCATTCTCCTGATCTTGCCCCCTCCCCTAGACCAAATGTTCTCCATTCCCCTCTAGGAATGGGCCCAATTACAGCTAGACTGGGGCACTTAGGATTCATCATTAGGACGCTTGAGTTTTCTTAAATCTTGATAAAAACCTTAGAGTTTGACTAGGAAGTGGTTGGTGGGACATGCAGGGATAACTACTCGGCCATGAATTTATAGCCTAGAAGTTGTCCTGAGTTCAGGAAGCCTTGCAGGCCACTTTGCAATCAACCAGCTTCCCACTCTCCGGTCACCAACCTCAGCCCTCTACCACTTTTCCTCGTGTCTTGTGCCATCTTCAGTGGACAAAAATCTGGCCCACAAGAAGGAGCCCAAAGGACAAGGCAGAGGAGAGTCAGCCTGGCCCCTTTATCATCAGATTTTGCCACACATTCTGGCTCATTTTGGAACCCAGGTCTGAACGTTATCTCCCTTTAATGCCTGGCCTCCACATGCATAGTTAGATTGTTGAAAATATATTATGGTTCAGTCTTCCAGCTTGGCTTCAACGCTCATTTTCCTTACATGGTGGGGGGTGAGGGAGAAGGAGGGAGAGGGAGAGAGAGAGAGAGAGAGAGAGAGAAATGAACGGAGATGGGCACTCTTTCTCACATTCTAGCTTGTGCAGCAGCAAAGCTGGTGATACAAATATGAGATGTGGGAGGGACTGGAGGTATCCTGAGAGGCGGACAGAAGGGGTTTCGGGCTGATGGTTGTAAGCTGCCTGCTGAGTCCCCAGGAGGACCTGGACAGCTCTCCCTCCTTAGAAAACTAAACCCAAACCAATTATTGATAAAGAATTCATTTTCAAAAGAACTGCCAGCTTCTAGAGAGACCTGGAAAAGGAGCAAGGGCCTTTCTCTTTCCGGTTGTCTTTGATTGTCTCAAAAATCAGGAAATTTTGAGGACCCAGAATTGGAGGAAGAACATTTTCTTCCCTGTGCCCAGGGGTACTGAGACATCTTTGATCCCTAAGAATCTGTAGCCCAGGATATTCTAGTGATTTGGGGCGTAGGGGGTGGGGATGGAGCGAGGGTTGCAGGCAGGATCCCTATCCTAGACAAACCTAGGCTGGGGGATGCCTCTCACTCCTACTCTCCCTATGCCCCCAGCAAAGCGGAAGAGAAGGCTAGCTAGTCCCTTTCCCCAGTGTCCCTTCAGGGGCCAAGAACAAGCATCACATGCTCCAACCAGGCAGGATGTCTTGGGCAGCTGAAGCAGCAGCAGCAGCAGCCTTCCAAGAAGCTCCTAATCTAGCCTCGCCTAACCTAGCCACAGAACCAGAGGGAGAAGCTTGGGCTCAGACTCTCCTCCCATTTCCCAACCTCCTGGGTTCTCTGGGCAGCAGGCTCTGGCCTGCCCTTCAGCCGGTAAGAGCTGTGAAGAAGCAGGAATTATAAACCCAGGCTTGGAGGAGGCAGAGGAGACCTGAGAAACAGGAAAAACAGTTTTCAAAACCTGGGAAGGAGAGTGTTTCTTCTTCTTTGCCTCCCCTGACAGCGATGCTAAATAGTGAACTCTTCTCTCCTACCTACAGAAAACCCTAGAAACAAGTCTTTCCCTTTGGTTCTCTCGTCACCACACAGAGAGGGACGTTTAGGCACCCTTCCCTTGAGGGAAGGGGCCCAAGCAACGCAGGGGTTAACTTTTCTGAAAACACAATTAACTTTTTCCTATCCTGCGTGGGGAGGGGAGGGATATATTTATTTAATCACTGGGGGATGGGGTGGTCTCAATCCAAATGCTCCCTCCTCCCTCCAAGACACAGACGCCTCTTTCGCAGATCCTACGTAGGTGGAACAGGACGCGTTGTGTTGTTGGGGAGAGAGAGAGAGAGAGAGAGAAAGGAGAAGGAGAAGAAGGAGGAAAAAAAAAAAGGTTGATAGGTTTGTGCGCGGGTCCCTCGCGCGGGCTGCGCTCCTCCTGGGTGCTATTTGACAATTCCTGCCTCTGCCATTGGTCAGTGTTGGATCAGATGGTTGTATTTCCTTCTGGCCCTCACTGGCACCTCGCCATCCCCCCTCAGCTAAAACCCAATCTCAGATATACTACTAATAGGCGCGGCGCTCGGACTATAAAACACAACAAATCATAAAGCCGGCGGAGCAGCAGCGGCCGAGCGCGCCTCCCCTCCCAATGAGTTCCTATTTTGTGAACTCCACCTTCCCCGTCACTCTGGCCAGCGGGCAGGAGTCCTTCCTGGGCCAGCTACCGCTCTACTCGTCGGGCTATGCGGACCCGCTGAGGCACTACCCCGCGCCCTACGGGCCCGGGCCCGGTCAGGACAAGGGCTTTGCCGCTTCCTCCTATTACCCGCCCGCGGGCGGCGGCTACGGCCGAGCGGCGCCCTGCGACTACGGGCCGGCGCCGGCCTTCTACCGCGAGAAGGAGTCGGCCTGCGCGCTCTCGGGCGCGGAAGAGCCGCCCCGGTTCCACCCCGAGCCGCGGAAGTCCGACTGTGCGCAGGACAAGAGCGTGTTCGGCGAGGCCGAAGAGCAGAAGTGCTCCACTCCGGTCTACCCGTGGATGCAGCGGATGAATTCGTGCAACAGTGAGTGAGCCCTCCCGCGGCCCCCCACCCCCCGGGACAGAAGTAGCGCGCCCCCCACCCCCGGCAGGCCCCAGGGTGCGGCTGGGCATCTCAGTTAGGAGCTAAGGGAAGCCTGGGCGCCCGTCCCGGGTCTCCTGCTCTGTCCTCTCGCCCTCAGGAGTTACAAAGTTTGCAAAGTCCCAGCTGCACTGGGAACCAGGGGGAGCGAGTGGGCTCTCCCGGAGCGCCGCGCCAGAGCCCGATTCCGGGGCCCCGGGGCCGGGGAGGGGGCAGGGGCCGCAGCCACTGGCGTGGCTTTCCCTCGCGCACCCCCCGCCCCAGCCCTGGTCCGGTCCCCCACCCGAAGACGGTTCCATTAAAAACGGAGTGCGTCATGGGAAGGGGGGCGTCGTGACGCTGGCGAGGGAGAGTGCAGTCTGTCCGGGACTGTGTTTCCCTGGGGGTTCGGGGCCGGGGAATGAGGAGGCACCAGGAAAGGGGTGGTAGTCAGAGGAGGGAGGGAGAATGAGGGGGAAGAACGGGAGAGGCAGCAGGCGGAGGGGGAGAGAGGGAGAAGCAGGCGCCTGGGTCTCAGGTTGGATTATTTGTCGGCCTTAAGTCCCAAATTGATGTCCATTAGTGGGACACGAAAGTGAGGAGCCGTTAATGCCGACTGTGGATCGATCCACGTCATTACGGATTAAGGGCTGGAATCTATCACAGGGTGGTGGGGAAGCCAGATAGATGGAAAGAAAAGATAAGGCTAGGAAGAGACGCACCTGGCCGTGCTTCCCCAGCCCCTCCCCACTAGGCTCAGGTGGGATTTTTAAACTCGCCTCCCATCCCCCCACCAAAGGTCTAGACCTGAGAGGCCCGGGCTTGGGAGGCCCGGAGGGAATCTGGAGGGGGCGCTGGAGGAGTGAGGAAGGGGGGGGGTGGGCAGGAAACTCGAAGAGTGGAGGGCATCCCGGGACAGGCTAGAGTCCATGTTTGAGGGTCGAGTGGGGGAGGGGGTTCTGGCCCTGATGACCCCAGGCCTCAGCATCTTCTCTCGGCGTAACAGGTTCCTCCTTCGGGCCCAGCGGCCGCCGCGGCCGCCAGACCTACACGCGCTACCAGACCCTGGAGTTGGAGAAGGAGTTTCACTACAATCGCTACCTGACGCGGCGGCGGCGCATCGAGATTGCGCACGCCCTGTGCTTGACCGAGCGGCAGATCAAGATCTGGTTCCAGAACCGGCGCATGAAGTGGAAAAAGGAAAGCAAACTGCTCAGCGCGTCTCAGCTCAGTGCGGAGGAGGAGGAAGAAAAACCAGCCGAGTGAAGGCGCTGGAAAGGGAGGGGGGACGCCAAGGGAGCGGCCTGAGGGGAGCCGAGGGCATCCGAGAGCCCCCCCCCCAAGGCTCTGCGGGCGGGGGCGGGGTCCGGGGGACCTGCTCTCCAGCGCGCTACAGGCGGGGCCCAGCGCTCTTCTGGATGCCCCCGCCCCGCAGAGCTCTCACTGGGTGCTGGGAGTCCTTGCCGCCTGAGCCCACCCAGCACCCCGAGCGCCCCCTCCGTCCCTACGGGACCCGCTTCAGCCCCAGCAGGCTCCCCCATGAGAACTGAGGACCGGACTCACTTGATATTTCCTGGAAGCAGAGCAAATGCTCTGGTCCCTGTCGCGTCTCATTTCGTCCTTGTTCCCCGTGCACGGTTCAATGGTAGATTCGCAGTGCCCTCAGCGGGGGGCCTCGAAGACTCCCTGACCCCAGACCTCCCCCCCCCCAAAGCCACTGGAAGGAGCACATACTACCTAGAAGTAAGAAGAGGAGCCTCAGAAGAAAACAAAGTTCTATTTTATTAATTTTCTATGTGTTGTGTTTGTAGTCTTGTCTTAGCTCTGGACGTGAAATACTTCGGTAATAATATTAATATTATTAATGATAATGATGATAATAATAATAAAGATGTAAAAACTCGCCGCTTGGTCACCTGTGCTCCTCCCCTGCCACTCCCCCACCCCCAAGGCCACCGCAGTGTCCGGGTGCCAGAAACTTGGCCTCGAAGGCAGGAGCCCCTGGTCCCCCCCGGTGGCCAAGCACGACTCGGAAGTTACAGTTGAGATAAAGGCTGGGGCCGTCCAGCCCAGGCTCCGGGCGCTGCACCTCGCCAGGGCTGAGACTCCTAACAGCCTCTCTGGGTGCAGACTCGGGGGACTGAGAAAGGCCGTTTCCCTCTTATTCTCTAGCTTTTCCTCGTTTATCCATGGCACGAGGGACACCGCCGAGGCCCTGAGCCCGGAGCCTCTGCAGAGACAGCCAGGCGGGTCTCGCGCCTCAGCAGTGTCCTGTCGTCACGCTGGCGAGGCCTGAAGCCTGTGGCCTGCCCGCATGGCCTGATCTCCGCCCGCCCTGGCCCTCGGCTCTGGGCCTGTGGCTCCGGAGACTAAACCGCGGCCACCAGGCGACTCTCAGCCCGCAGCTGAAGCCTCCAGGCACCCCTTCCTTCCTCAAGCAGGAATTCTGCGACAAGTAGGGGAACTGAAAGCAGCCGCTGGCACGGGGTGAAGGGCACGGCTTTCCCCTGCTCCTGGGAGACCCGAGGCGCAGGAGGCCAGGTGATGGGGTGCTTTGGTCTCATCCCCTCCACCAAAAAACGACCCATTCTCTCCCACCCCCACCCTCACCCAGGCGGCAAGCTGCGGACAGTGTTTTCCTTTCTTTCTCCTCCCTCTGTCTCCCTTTTTTTTTATTTGTAAAGAAAATAGCTGCCCGGCAGAAGGAGCCCAGCTGCGGCGGTCTCTGGCCCCCCAGCGCGCTCAGCAAGGCGCCCGCTGGTCCTCCGAATCCCTTTCCAGGGAAGATGTGGGCTGCCGGGCAAATTCTGAAACTACTCAGACGTCAGCGAGGGGCCTCGAGTGGGGTCTCCCAATGCAATAGAGGGCATCTGGTGAGGAGGTGACAGGGTCTTCTTGCCTTCATCCCGAACTCTCAGAACCCCAAACCCCGGCCACCTATTCTGTCGCTGCCACCATTTCCTCCCCGCAAGTAGGCCCGCTTAGCCCCAGCAGAGCACATCCTCTGGGGTCCCTGTCCTGATTTGCCATTCTCTGTGCCTGGGCTGAGGAGGAGGAGGAGGTCAGGAAGAGGATCCCAAACTTCTAAAGGGCACAGAAGTGAAAGCTTCCCCTTGGACCCCTTGGTCCAGCCCTGCCAGCTCCGCCTGGATGCCATGCATGGGCCACAGCCGGGGAAGGAAGCAGGCCAGGCCGAGCTCACTGGGAAACGCATTGTAATAATTGTTTTCCACACACATCTTCCAACCCTCCTCCCCCATTTCCGCCCCAACTCGGAGACTTGCAGAGCCCAAGTGAGGGAAAAGCAACTCAATTTTTGATCATCTCATCCAGAGTGAAAATAATAATGATGATGATACTAATAACAACGACAAGGAGAAGGACACAGATAGTCTAAACCCACTCCCAAGAAAGTGGGTGAGGGCTCAAGTGGGTCCCTCCTCTAAAAGACTCAACTCTGAGGAAGAGCCCAGCCCGGGTTTCTTTCTCTCCCGGCGGTTTGCTGGGAGCCAGCAGGGAGGCAGCCGTCGCCGCCATGGCAGTCTGCGGCCCGCGCTCCCGCCGACCACCGGGAGGTGGCGCGCTCTGCTCAGAGGCCGCCGCCAACCTTCTCCCTGTTTCTCCCCCTTCTCCGTTTTTCCCCCTCTCTCAGAGGCTCGCATTGAAACGGCCCTAACGATTCTCGGATCGTCATTATTTGTAACCATAGAGCATGAATTACCTCTTGAGGTCATCAGCGAGAATTTACGACTGGTCAACAAAAGCACGTGATTCCCTAACGCCCCCCCATCCCCCTTCCAACCCCCCCCCATATTTGGCCGCATACATAGCAAAACGAAGTACAGTGCATCGCTATAATTCATTAATACATCATAAATCGTGAAGCACAGGGTTATAACGACCACGATCCACAAATCAAGCCCTCCAAAATCACCCAAATGAGCTCGTACTTTGTAAACTCCTTCTCGGGGCGTTATCCAAATGGCCCGGACTATCAGTTGCTAAATTATGGCAGTGGCAGCTCTCTGAGCGGCTCTTACAGGGATCCCGCTGCCATGCACACCGGCTCTTACGGCTACAATTACAATGGGATGGACCTCAGCGTCAACCGCTCCTCGGCCTCCTCCAGCCACTTTGGGGCGGTGGGCGAGAGCTCGCGCGCCTTCCCCGCGCCCGCCCAGGAGCCCCGCTTCAGGCAAGCGGCGTCGAGCTGCTCCCTGTCCTCGCCCGAGTCCCTGCCCTGCACCAACGGCGACAGCCACGGCGCCAAGCCCTCTGCTTCGTCCCCCTCCGACCAGGCGACCCCGGCCAGCTCCAGCGCCAATTTCACCGAAATAGACGAGGCCAGCGCGTCCTCGGAGCCTGAGGAAGCCGCGAGCCAGCTAAGCAGCCCGAGCCTAGCTCGGGCACAGCCAGAGCCCATGGCCACCTCCACAGCCGCGCCCGAGGGGCAGACTCCGCAGATATTCCCTTGGATGAGGAAGCTTCACATCAGCCATGGTAATTCTCGCTTTCGCTCCTTTTCTTTCCTTTTTTCTTTTCTTTTCTTTCTTTCTTTCTTTCTTTCTTTCTTTCTTTCTTTCTTTTTTTTTTGTCTCGTCGGCTTTCCTTCTCTGCGTTTGGGGAGGTGGGGGGGGGGAGGCGAGGAGAGCTTGGCTTCTCCTCAAATATAGATTTTTTTTTCCTATTTTTCACAGAGGAGTAGAAGTCTCTAAGAGGGTCCTCGCAGCTCAGGGGGATAGAGCCAAAGAAGGTCTAGGTCTTTAGCTGGGGAGGAGTATTTTGAATCATTTGTCTCCAGATTCCGCTAAGGTTTTCTTCACCCAGCTGTACTAGCTCTAGGATGAAGGATGGGGTTTATGTAACGTGGGGAAGGGTCCTGCTTAAGCCCCGAAATTTTGAGGCTGATGCTAGCAAAGGAGGGGCGAGCAGCAGGAAAGGGAGCTTTCCAGGGCAAAAGTGCAGCCTCTCTCCTCCCTCCCGGGGCGAGCGGCGGCCTGAGCCCAGCGAAGGGTGAGGCTCAGGGAGGAAGCAAGAGACAAAGCCGGGCGCATTCCCTGCCGCCGAAGTGGGGGCTGCAAGAGAAGGGGGAGCAGAAGCGAGCTCGGATGCGGGGCGTCTGGAGTGGGGGAGGATTCGAGCTGCGGGGAGCTGGGTACCGGGGACGCCTGGGTCCTGCTCCACGCCCCTCTCCCATCCAGTGCCCCCTCCCTTAACCGGAATAACGTTGCCTCCCGGGCTCTACTCTGTCTGCTTCAGATATGACCGGTCCCGACGGGAAAAGGGCCCGGACCGCGTACACCCGCTACCAGACCCTGGAGCTGGAGAAGGAGTTCCACTTCAACCGCTACCTGACGCGGCGGCGGCGCATCGAGATCGCCCACGCGCTCTGCCTGTCCGAGCGCCAGATCAAGATCTGGTTCCAGAATCGGCGCATGAAGTGGAAGAAAGACAACAAACTGAAAAGTATGAGCCTGGCTACAGCCGGCAGCGCCTTCCAGCCCTGAGCCCGCCTGGAGGAGCCCTGGGTGGCCCAAGAGCCCTTGCCGCCCCCAGCCCTGGCCCCTCCAAACCTCCCTGCGCTGCCACTGCCCGCTGGGGACCGGGTTCCCACGAGCCTGCCTCGCACCGGCCTTGTGTTACGAATTTTCGTTTGGTCTTAGGTCTTCCTGTGGCTCCCTCTCTCCTGGACTGGTTAATCTTGTTATTATTGTTAATAATAATGATAATTATTATTTTCCCTCCCTGCTCCCCACTCCCCTCCACTCAGCCCCCAATCCGCCAGTGTTTCTGAATGTTCGTGTCTGTGGTTGCACTCCTTCCCCCAGGAAAGAAAGAAACTCGCATGTTTAATGTGAACAGTCCCCTCCCTATCTGTGTTCTTCTAACTTATTTATAAAGGGATGAGTGCTGTGTTTTGAGTTTCAGCTTGAAACTTCTCTAAGGGGCAGCAGTTGAGGTGGGGCAGTGCCGGAGCAGCGCCGGGCCCAGCTGAGCTGGTCTCGGACATGGAGTCCATGACTGTCTCTTTCCATCCTCCTCCTCCTGCTCCTCCTCCCTCCCCACTCCCCAGGCCCAAGTCTTCCAGAGGCTTGGTCAAAGGGTGGGAAGGGGGCAGGAAGGACCAAAGGGGTGATATGGAGAAGAGAGAAGGTAAACCGCGAGAATTAAGTTCCTGCGGCCTGGGTAGGCCCCACAAGGCCTGGCCTGGGAGTGTATGGAAACACAAATAATCCTCAGTGTAAAATGTCTTGTGTATTTCTCTGTGAATTCATGGGTCTGGAGTAGAGGGCCCAAAGCTTGTAAATATGGGGATAGTCTGGGTCAGACCCATCCCCTCCCCCCCTACACCCATTTCGCTTCCAAGACCATTTGTAGTGAGCGAGTGGATGCTGTGCTACGTGTGAAATCTGTCTTTGCCTTTGCCGGGCCTGTCTCAGTGATTCGCTTTTGGTATTTGTAGCTTTCCTTGAAGTCAAATAAATGTTTCCCCTAATCCACTGCCCTTCCACTTGTCTTTTCTCTGGGGGCCTGTCCCTCCCTCACTGGGCACACCCTAGACCATTTTTGACAGATCTGGGGTGTAGGGAAGGGAAAGAAGGATGCTTACCAGCAGCCCCTCTTAGCCACCTACATCCCTTGCTTAGTCAGCCGAGTTCTTGGACCAGGGGATAAGCTTTCATGTCTGGGGACTGAGAGGCCCAGAAATCCCACGTGGAGCTGGGGCAAGGGAAAGAGTGAGCTGGACTCCACCCTGGCCTTCCACCAGCCAGCCAGCCAGCCAAAAAAGCCTCTGGAAACCTCTTCAGGGAAAGTAATTTGGGCCTAAGTTCTGAGCAGGAGGCTCCTAACCTTTTGGGAGTGGTACAGGCCTGCCCAGCCCCCCTGTCCCCTGGCCCAAATCCCAATTCTGCTCTACCACCCACTAAGACCCCTCCCTCAAAAAAAATCAGCTCAATTTCAAAGGTTTCCTTTCCACCTCAGTTTTCTCTAAGCTTATCAAGGGCTCCCTCTCTCCAGGAGCTCAACTGACCTTCCCTCTTGGTTAGGAGTTGGGGTCCCTCCTGGAAGACCCCTGGCTCCCCTGCCAGCCGGAGTAGCCCAGGGTTAGGGCCCAGTACTCCTCCATCCAAGTCCGCCTTTACCCTGAGTGCAAGAGTCAAGTCTGGACACTTACCCGGTCAATCCCTTCCAGCTTGGCCCAACTTCTTACAGGACTTGGGGGGGGAGGGGAGCTGGTGAGGAGACAGCCAAGAATCGTAGAGGCTCTACTGGGCCCTCCTTCCCCCTCGCCCCTTGACTTTGTCCCCCTTTGTCCATAGCAAACTATCCCAAAAGTCGCTATGACATTTAGATGTCAAATGGATAGGGGTTTTATCTCGAAGTTAGATCGTAAAAATCGCCGAGAAGTCAGACAGATACCCCTCACTGGCTCGAGAAAGTCACGTGAGGTCCATAAAGTTAGTTTTATGGTTTTGGGGAGTTGACACCGCGCGGTATATTTCACATTCTCCAGAATGTTAAGTGACACTTTAACTGCTCGCCGTGGTGGGGAAGGGGGCAGAGGTGGGTGAGCGCTCTCCCAGCCCAGAAGGCAGTGGCGGCACTCCCGCGGTAAGTGGCTTCCAGCTTTCGCTTTCTCCCCCTGCAATTTTGGGGCTTGGAACTGGGGAAGGAAATCTTGCCTCCGGCAGAGCTGTAGGACTATGAGTAGGGGGCATTTAGACTGCTCTTTTTGCACCAAGTTCTGACAGGCTGAGTGTCTGAAGTGGGGGCTCTCAGCTCTGTAAGGCCTCAGTGGTTGGGGTGCCTGGTTTTTATTCGCAGGAGTGTCTGACTCTTTGTGGGGGAAAAGGCTTGTGTGGGTTCCTTCAATGTCCTTGGAAATTTAGGGGGACAAGAGGGAAGGGGTGTGTACTACTGAAAGGAGGGCCCCTTGTGGGGGGCCACTTCACTGCTGGATATCTTGAGACCCTCGGTCATCTCTCCACCCCCAGGAAAGAAACTTTATGACATTCATTTGTCAGGGGTGTGTGGGGACGCGCCGCTGGGCACTTTTATCTGGATACATCTGAGCTGAGCAAAAGCATCGGGAAGGCTAACGCGGCTGCTGTGGGCTGCCCCCCCCCCCCCCCGCACTGGGGCTCTCTCTGGCTTTCAGATTTTTGAACTCTATGAAAGGGGGTACCCCGCATTTCTCCATGACCTCATCAGGGTTACCCAGGATGAGGAATGTGACACTTTTGCATTCAACTTCAGCCTGTAAATTCCAAACCAACCTTACTGCTTGGCTCTGAGGAGGGTCAGAGGGGCACAAATCCCCTCAAAATCCAAACCTAATTCCTGGCCTGGAATGGGGGGAAGGGGAGAGCTTCTTCCCTTGCCTGGAGGAGTTAGGTGTCTAAGCAGATCTCTGGCAGTCCCTCCATAAAGAAAACTTGCTCAAGAACACAGACCCCAACTGTCTGGAGGGAGAAAAAGGAACTCAGGAACAGGAGAGAAAAAAATCAGAGAGGTTCTGTCTTTCTTCTCCTCTCCCTCCCTCTTCTCTCCCTACTAGACCCTTAAAAAAGCCCCCTTTGTTTTGTGGCACCACAAACCAGAGGGATTTCATCATTTGACCCCCAGGGGGCCTGTTATTTCCTATGGGCAAATCACCCTCTTCTAAAAACCAGTGGCCTCCTCTCCACCAAACTGACCCCCCCATTTTAAGACCCATGGGGTCTACCACCACCACCACCGTGTTACTCCTGCCTTTGCCAGCCTTCTGGCTCTTGATTCAGCCTAACTCCTGTGAACAGTCCATAGAATTGGACATGTGGCACCTTACGGGGCTTCTGATCTTTGGGACAAGGGGAGGGCCATGAGATTCCCTCTATTCCCCCATTGAAGGATATCTGCACGCTCTGCCTGTCTCCTTTCTTTCCTGCAGCCATTCTCTGTTCCCTGAGCTCTCCAGTCCCTGCCCAGGTCTGACTTACAGGAGAACCTTCACAGGTTTGAGAGCAAAGAGGACAGAGAGCTTGGGGTCCCCACCCTGACTTGAAGATGAATCCCCCCAGGAATGAGGAGAAATTTATATCCCTTGGAAAAGAGACTCTGGTCAGCTCCCAGAAGGTCCCCAGCATCATTTAAGATATCAGTACATTCTGGAGGCACAGCTTCCACAGGCATCCACTCTGGAAAAGGCAAACGAGTTGAGTAAGGTGCAGAGGAAGGATATAGCAGGGGCAGAATTTGACCTGGAGCCTCCTTGGAACCCCCATTCCCATGTGCCCTGGTTCTCTTCTCCCAGAAACCCCAGACCACCAGGCCTGCCCCTGAAGATTTTTTTCCCCCTCCTATGTCAGCTCTGCAAACTCTGATAAAGAATGTGTGGGGCCGATGGCCCCAGGACATCTGCTGGGCATATCTAGAAAGATTTTCCGGAATGGTGAAGAGCAGCCCTGGGTGGGGTGGTGTGTGAGGGGGTGCCCACTTCCGTTTGGAGGTCAAAACCCTTGAAGGGTCTCCTCCTGCTCTAAGCAGTTCCTGGAGAAGACTCCCTAGCTGGGTTTCTTCTTTCTTGCTTCAGGTTCTCTGGGCAATGGTCTCCCTTGAAACCCAATAAGGACAGTCAGGAGGAAGGGGTGAGAGTTGAAAAGGGGTTTCTGGCGCAAAGGAACTCTTCCTTGCCATGGAGCCATGGATTCCTGCCCTCCCCTCCTGCCTTCCCAAGACTTTCCCTGGGAAAGCTGCTCCTTAATCTTAAGGACTTTTGCCTTCCTCCCTGCCCACCTGCTTTCCTCTCCCTGGCTGAGTCCAGGCCTCCACCTTGTGAGCTCCAGGCTGGCACCCTCCAGCCAGATCCCATGCCCAGCCGCCCAGCCACTCCGCGTCCTCCACCTGGGCAGCCAGGGATTAAGGTGGCAGTTGCCTTTTTACCCTCCAAGGCCTGCCTGACCCACCTCTCAGCAGATAATTTGATCTTGAATTTTTTTGCTTGATTTGGTTATTTCGTTTTGTTTTGTTTCTCTGTGTGCGGGGTGGGAGGAAGTATAAAGAAGTGTAAACAGGAAAGCCAGCCGGCCCTGGAGTTCCGAGCGCCCATATTTCATCGGCTTCCTCTCCATAACTGGAGCGGGGACACTTAACCCTTCCCTGGCTGTGAGAATGTGGTCACTGGGGATGGAGGTGGGGTAGCTGGGGTGGGGAGGAGGTGGGGGCCAGACCGAAGTGGAAGCTCCCCTCCTGGCCTGCTTCCTTTATCCCTCGGGTCTGGATGCTGGGGCAGAAGCCAGGGATTTGGAACAGGAGAGAAGACAGATATCTTAGAAAAATCTCTCAAACTCCATCCCTTCCAGGGTAGAGAGAAGGCTTCCCATGCATGTTTTTTTTTTTTTTAATTTTTTCAGCTTGGGGCCAAACAGGATCGACCAAGGAGGACAGAGCTGGGAAGAACCCCTCCCATCCTTTAGGGTCATTCTCTCCATTTTTGGAGTTTCTAGAAGTAATCAGATTTCGAGGCTGGGATCTGCCCACAGCAGGGTTTATCGATTGCTGCAGTGCTGTTACACATCCATATTAATTAACCCAGACACCGGCCTGGAAACTGAGCAGCTTGGGGAGGAGGAGGCAAGAAATGGGGGCCCTTTAAAGAAAATGGACATTTTCCCCTCAAGTGCCCCTGGGGCCCAGATTGGAGAGTCCTTCCCCACCAAAATAGTATGGCCTTCACCAAGCTTGAAGCCCCTGTACTTCTCAGCAGGGGTAAATGTGTCTCACTCTCCTCAGTCAGAGTCCACACACAAATCTCAGGGGTGGAATTAAACACCTCTCAGGCCTGACTCTTCCTTGTCAGACATAGGTTGTCCCAGCCCTTGGATGGATGGATCCTTTGGTGGATGTTCTCAGGACAACCTTTCTAGAGGGCTTAGCAACTCCTCCCTACCTTTCTTCCCACTTCCCCAAGGTAGAAGCTTTTTATGGGGGGGGGGGGGGAGGGGCTTGTTTTGTTTTTAGTGTTTGGTGGTGGTGGTGGTGGTAGTGATGGCTTTCCCCTTCCTCTTACCCCTCCTTCCAAAAAGTGATTAAAATCTGTTAAAGGATTTAATTAAGACAGTTAAATGAAAAGGAAGGAGGCACAAATGAGTTGGGGGAAAAAACCCACACCAAAGCTATTCTCAACGATTAAATCGCCATTTTAACAATATAATGGAGTTTGCATCCTGAAAGGGGAAATCTACGCTCATATCTCATCAATAATTCATAGAGTCCGGGATCACGCAGAGGTCAGCAGACGGGGCCGAAGCGCCGGCCTGCTTGGGGCTCCGAGCCCGCTGCCGCATACATTACCCGCCTCGGGCCTCGCTGCCGCCACCTCAGCGGCTCGGGGCCTGGGGCCAGGGCCTGGGCATGCCGACAGGTTTAGGCCGATTTTTCGATTTTTCGTTTTTCCTTTTCTGGAATTTACTGAGACCCAGATTGCAAGCTCCCAGAGGAAGTGGGAGATTTAGGAGACTGGAGAGGCTGGACTTTGGGCAATTTGGGACCTGTCGGACCCGGATTATCACCATATTTTCAAGTTCTAATCTCTCCCCACTCCTCCCCCCCCCTCTTTTTCTCTGTTTGAGTCGTCTTCTGTCCTGTCTCTTCTCTCCCCAAATTTCCTCTTGGGGAGGAAAATGCGCTCTCTGCAGCATCCTCCAGCTTCTCTTCCCTGGAAACAGCTCCCAGGCTGCCCAGCAGTGCCCTTGCCCTGCCCTCCGCATGGGTTGGGGCTGAGCCCAGGTAGCTTCAGGCGGGTTGTGGCCTCTGAGCACCAAGGCTGCCTTTGATTGTGGGGATCCCTGACCTCAGAGCCTCCCGTGGGGTGGGGATGAATGCATCCAGGGAGGAAAGGGACCTTGCAAGCCCCAGTCCAGCTTGCTTAGTCAAGAGATGACCTAGGCCACGGAGGGAAGGGGAGGATTCTGCTTGGAAGGCAGCATCTAGGGGAAAAGTGGAGGGAAAGTGCCAGCATGTGGGAATGTCTCCCCTTGGGGCTTGAGAGCAAGATGCACCATAATCCCTATATTTTGAGCTTCTGCAGGCTCATTCCACTTTCTCTCTCTTTCCCTCTAATCCGCTCTCTTCTGCTTTCAGACTCCTAACGGGCCCCTAGGGAAGAGGGAACAAACGCTTCTCGCTGAGAGGTGGGGTCCTGGGAAGGGATATTTGGATGATGCGACGAAAACCGAAAGAGCGCAGGTCGCCCGAGCGCTGCGCTGGCCGAGAGGCAGAGGCTGTAACGTCCCCGAGCTGCCAGTAGAGTCCGCCTTAGACCAAGTTCACAGC